CCCTCACCCCCACTCATGTGTGCTCTCTCTCAAATAAAAAAAGAAAAAAGTATGAGAAAGCCAATGCTCTTGTACAACACTGGTCAGAGTGCAAATATAACTATCACAGTTACCAGGATGGACTGAATACTTGTATCTTTACTTCCTCTTGAAACACCACAACAAAGACAGGACAAGAATCCTAAAAGGCAGAAATCCACCAGGACAGCAGGACAGGGCACAGAAGAGGAGACAACGGTGGACACAAGATGTTACCAGAATCTGGGGAGATGGAAGGTAGATTGGTGAGTGGTAGCTGTTGGAGTGGATCAGAGAAGTCTGGAAACTGAATGCCAACCAGAAGCAAGCAGTGTTGTGCCTCTGTCCTACCGACCGTCTCAAGAATTGGAGGTGACAGCTTATGTCAGAAGGTGGTGTGGGGTGGGGCTAAAAACAGGAAGATCTGTTGAAAGTACAGCGTGTTTACAAAACACTCAGAGGCTGATTTCACAGCCCAGGCAATTGATAAGCCAAGGTATTTATCTTTCCCACCCTAGCAGGAGGAGGACATTTATTCTCTGGAGAAACTAAACCAGAGAAGCTCCAGACCAGAGGGCAAGGCTTAGTCACCATACCACAAAGAGAAGGGAGATAGAGGGAGGGCAGATCCTTCAAAGGCTGCGTATTGAATGATGAGATCCCAGCTTCCTTCCCCTGACAGCCCCCCAAGAATGCCTACAGCCTAGCTTGTATCCTCCAGGCAGGAGATCAGAGACTCTCTCTCAACAGAACCCAACTGGCTCCAGAGAGGTCTCCCAACCACAGCACCTGGTCTGCCCACCAGATTGCCTCAGGGAGAGGCCCAACAGCCAACAGGATCCTCCACCCAATCCCTCCCCCCACACCCACACGGAGCCTCCAATCAGCTTCTAGTTCCTTGATCATAAAAATGAACATTTAGCAAGGAACCCACAAACATTTGAGAAAGCCTCCAATATAAAAGATAGAACAAAATCACACAAAGGAAACAGGAGTAGTAGATACAATGGAGGGAGCAGAGATAAAACAGAAAAAGAAAATTTATCCTTACCTTTAATGTTTATTTATTTTTGAGAGAGAGAGAGAGAGAGGCAGAGAGAGAGAGAGGGAGAGACAGAATCCAAAGCAGGTTCCGGGCTCTGAGCTGTCAGCACAGAGCCCAATGTGGGGCTTGAACCCACCAACTGTGAGATCATGACCTGAGCCAAAGTTGGATGCTTAACTGACGGAGACACCCCGGAACCCCAAAAAGAAAGGCTTTAATATCTTCAGAGAAATAAAGATATCATCACATCCATAAAACAAGAACGTGGTGCTACAAAAAAGGAGCAAGACAAGAACCTTTTTTTTTTAAATGAGGGTTGAAATTAAAATATGCAGTTTAAAAAAAGATGGCAACAGAGATGATCCGATGTGTCTGTTCCTAATGAGAAAATGTAAAAGCCCTGTTGGAGGGGAATCAGTGAGACATATGTTAAAACTAAGAAAACAAAAAACTGAAGCAACCGTCAACTCCAGGGGGGAGAAATTAAACAAAAGGAAAGAAATAGTAACAATAAACTAGACAGCTCTGAGAACAATACTTACATAGTTATGGCATAACATACTTCTATAATGTAAACTGAACACTGATTTAACCAAAATTTGTGATATAACCATACCGGGAAGATGTGGGAGCAATGATATAGATAGGGTGATGTATCCTTACCTTTCGGAATAAGTAAATAAATAATGACTACAGTAGAAAAAAAGAACAGCCATACAACCACTTTAGAAACAACAAAAATAATTGCTAGTGTTTATGTCTGGTAGGCAGAACTTGGAAGTGGGAAGATGAGACAGGAAAACGCTATTTTTTTTTATTGTGCGGCTTTAATAAAAAAAATGTAAATAAATAAAAAGTATGACATTTGTTAGAGGAATTTGGATGAATGAATTAAGACTATAAATATATGCATAACCTTTCATCCAGCAGTCAATTTGTAAGAATTTATACTAAGGAAATAATAGGGCTAATATGCAAAGATGTATGTTCAATGGTGGTTGCTGGAGAATTGTTTCTTATTATACCAATAAATAGGAAATAGCCTAAACATCCATTGGTAGAAACTGAGTTAATAAATTATGGTATGTCCACACACTGGAATACTACACAGCTGTTAAGAAAGACAAGCTAGAGGGGCGCCCGGGTGGCTCAGGTGATTAAGTGTCTGACTCCTGATTT